AACTTATGGAGTTAATGTTTCATGAATGAGACTTTTCAAGTTCCATAACTTGAGGACAAGTTATGAAACTCTTCACGAACCATTTTAGATCAAATTTAACTAATAAAATTATCATATAATTTTTCATTTACTAACTTGACCTAATTAACTCACATAGCAAGACAATTCCAATAAATAATACAAATAATCAACTTATTATCTTAAAATTTGATAATTTTATTTTAATTGGATGAGGATAATCATCACCATATCAAGAAAAACAAATTTTTTTGACACAAATCAGTTTGTGGTAATGATCTTAATCCAATTCTGGCCAAAAAACTCGAAAAACTGCAAACAAGGGATCCAATTCGTCGAGTTCATGGCATGGACTCGACGAGTTCATCTCATACGATCCAACTCGTCGAGTTCCCTTATGGGACTCGACGAGTCCAACAGTCAGTGGCCAGAAATGTCATTTTTTAGCTTTGAAAATCAAACAACTGCATCAATATAATAGAAAACACCCTAAGCTCTGATACCACTGATGGGTTTTAAGCAATATAACATCCCTATGGTGCACCTACAACCCTAATGATTTGGATCTAAGTTCTCTCTAATTATACATGCAATTTTCTTTTTTCCAAAGCATGAAGCCTAACTAGCATGCAACTTGATATTTGAATCACAAAAAACTAGTTAGAATAATACCTTTTGTTGTAGCTTGTTGAAGTTGGCCTTTCAAGAGCTTAGCACCCCAAGTGTGATGCCTCAAATGGTTTACAAAGCACCAAGAGCAAATGGAGGAACTTGAGAGAGGTTAGGGCACACAAAAATCGGCTATACTCTTGTTGTATCACATGTGAACACACCAAGAGCAATTTTCTTTTTTCCATAGCATGAAGCCTAACTAACCGAAACACACACGCGCTGCTGCTACCGGGTTCCTCACACTGAACAATCCAAATTATCCTTAATTAATATTTAGGACAATTTCCCATAATTCAAGGTCCAATTCATATCTCCGCATAACAATGGGTAAAAGACTATTTTACCATCCTATACTTGGCCCAACAAAGCAAGGCCCAAACCCAAAATGACTCAAGGCCCAAAAATGGCCCAAAAGCCATTCAGGTGCGTATGCCCAGCGTACGACACTGAAGCCAAAATTCATCCCCAAACCTCTTAATTCCTTAAGACAACATATATAACTTCCAGATACTATTCTTATGGGACGTCCTAACCCATAAAGTTCCCGACTTTATGAGTATGCATGGCTTAATGGAGTTTGATAAATTTATAAAATCTCAATTTTAAACTTATATAACTTTAATCATTAAAATTTATCGTTGGCTACCGGTAGCTAGTTTTAAATGATAAAACTTATTTTATTTTTAAAACTATTTTTACCATCTTATATTAGAAGGTAAATTTTATTAAAATCAAACTCTTTGCGATGTTATTTATGTTCAAAATATTTTATACATGTGAAATCTAATTTAACAATAATAACACAATACCAACATAAATTTAAACAACACAAGCATGAAAAACATATGTGCATTCACCAACTATCTAGTGACATTTTTTTGAGCCATTGCAAAAATACCAAGTCCTTCCTAAGGTACATAAAGGGACCAAAAATCTTGTAAAAGTCTTCATTCTACCACTTGCTTCAACACCTTGTAGCAAGTTTACAAAAATAATTTTATAAAGTTTGAGAAACTTTAATAAAATTATGTTTATAAACTTTTGATCTTCAAAATGACCTCCATCTTCATTCGTGTTACATTTTTATAAAAATAAACTATTTGTAAAACTAATCTATTACTTACAAAAATAATAAAATGAAAACTATATATTTAATTATTACATATCATACGAATAAATAAATATTACAACCATTTTAACAAATCAACACAAACACATTAACAAGAGGTCTATGACTAGTTTATGCACATCACACACACACACACACACAAACACACACACACACACACACACACATATATATATATA